CACCTCCCAGGCCCTGGAGATCGTGCAATCTGGTGCCGTGGCTCCCACTACTTCTTCTCGCACGCTCATGATAGCCACGGTGTCCGCCTCTGCACCCTTTGTGGCACCGGGTGTCCGCTCAGTGGCGCTGCCTCTCTTCGACCTCGCTCGCGGCCGTGGCATTCGCGTGGACTGTTTGGTCTCCGACCTCATTGTGGTCAGGCGTGCTATGTCCGTGGCGCTCGCTGGCAGGCCCGTGCGCTGGACGGAGCCAATGCGCAGCCCAGGTTCGACGCCCACCTTGACGCGGGTCTTCTTCACTGGCTATTTCCCTGTGGGAGCAGTCTCGGCCCTGGACGTGAAAATGCTCATCTCCATCCTCCGCAACACCCACGTCCCAGCGACGACCCTCCTGGCTTCGGAGGACGTGTTCTCGGACAGTGGGGCGGCGATCTTGGAGTTGACTGACCCGGCAGCGGCCCTCTCGGTTGTGCCACTCTGCGACGACATGGCCTTCGTCACCAGCAAGACGCTTACTCTCCGTACCCTGACGACCGTGGAGGTGTGGCAGGAGAAGCTGGAGAGCATGTTCGCTACTGATCCGGCCTGCTTCGCCTCCAAGCTTCGCTGGCGGCGGTCCCGGAATGGAGGTCGCACCATCGCGCAGCCCGAGGCCACGCAGCGCCAGCTGCAAGCATCGCGACGGATGGCGATGGCGCCCTCGCCCTCGGACCGTTCGCAGCAAGCGGAGGTCGTCGTCCACGGCAGCATGGGGTATGACCCCCGGCAGGTTGAACTCCAGGTTATCCAGGTGCTCGCTTCCAATGGGGTGGTCTTGCGCGAGGGAGTCGCTACGTCGACCTCAACAGCTGGATTCTGGTACTCTGGGGCAGCCCCGGCTTTCTCTGGAGCGGGCGGACGTCTTCGCTTGCATTTGACCTCCACGGAAGAGCTGGGGAAGGTTCGCGATGCCCTCCACGACAAGGCCTTCCAGCTGGGCTCCGAGATGGTCAGCCTGACGGTGTCCGACGATGCCTCCCTCGCAGAGCAGGCAAAAAACGGCCGGAGGGGGGCGCGCCGGCAGGCCGCCCCCCCAAGCGCCGACGGCGCAGCCTGACCACGGAGGCCTCCGCGGCCTCAATTCGCCATCCTGGCGGTGTGCATCCAGTCGTCTATGTGGATTTCTTGTTCCGGCGAGTGGTCCTGCATATTTCGACCTCTTCTTCTTCATCTTCTACTCGCCCTGGGGATCCACGTGCTCTTCTTCCTGCTCTTCCGCATGCTCTTCCTGCGGCTGCTTCGCTACCTCCTGCTCGTCCGGCACCGCGAGTCCGCCATCGCCGCGTTCCACGTCCGCCTGATGCTCCACCCGGAGCGAGTGCGCCACCCAGCGCTTCCCCACCTACCTCTTCTACATCTTCGGAGGGATCTCCGGCCGGGCGCCTGCCTCCGCAGCCGCCTGGCACGCTACCGCGGCTGCCTGGCCCGTATGCTGGGGACTACGAGGGAGTTGCCTGGAACTCGCAGGGATTCTTCATGTCGAAGGCCGCCGGGCATGCTGCGAAGCGCCGCTTCGCACAACGTCTTCTTCAACGTCGTGATTTCCTTGTCTTGAGCGAGGCGCATGTCGCTGAGGGCGCGGAGGCGGCTTTCACGAATCTGCCTGGGACGTCCTCGTGGTGGTCGCCAGGCACTGCTGCTCGAGCTGGGGTCGGTGTCATCATTCGCGACGCGTTCTTGAACAAGTTCCGGCTCCGCGAGCCCGAATGGGTTGTGGTCGACGCCGGCCGCCTTGCCGTCCTGAAGCTCTGCGGCGAGGAGGGCTCCCTGGATATCGCTGCGTGCTACTTTCCGACGGGCGTGGCTCGAGCTCTTCACCGCAACTCCGGGGAGCCCCCAGCCGCGCTCCGTGTGCAGCGAGAGACCCTTTGTCGTAAATTGCCCCCGCTGCTTCGACCAGAACTTGCTTTGTTCGTTCTTGCAGGCGACTTCAACTTCGTAGTCTCCCACGCTGATCGCTGGAACAAGTCGTCGGGAGCGCGCAGCGGCGACAGCGATGCGGCCGAGGCTGGTCATTGGCGCCGCACGCTGCCACCCTCGAGTCTTTACGAGTTGCACCAACCAGAGCCCACCCATGCAGGGCCCGTCTCGTTCGCTCGTCTCGACCGGGCGTACGTCAACCAGCCCGTGGCCGACCAGTTGGACAAATCGATTTTCTCTGTCGCTCTACCCTGGACGAGCTTGTCGCACCATCGGCCTTTAGCCTTCGGCCGGTGCTCGAAGCTCATCCGGGCACCGCTGGACAAGGCCATCCCTGAGGCGATCGTCCAAGACGAACGCTGGCCCGTGCACGTTGCGGACGAGTACCGATCCCTGATGGAGCTCTCGCCAGAGGCTGGCCCGCTCATCCGCCTGCGCCGCCTCAAGGTGGCCATGCGGACGGCATCGGCTCGCCTTCTCGAAGAACGGGCTGCCGGGGACAATATGTCCGCGAGCGAGTCGCCGCTGAGCATGACGATGGCTGTGCTACGCCGGCTGGAACGGCACGGCCTTGCAGATGTGCCCGCGCTTCGTGCCAGGTATCCTGTGCTTCGTGATTTTCTCTCAGATGATCTTCTTCAGCATGCTCCTCATCGGTGTCTGTCTCGCCTTCGAGAACACGCCCTTGGCCTTGCGAGGGCGGATGTTCAGTCTTCTCTGCAACGCCTCCACGATGAGGCGCACGGTCTCCCCGACAACGTCCTGCGGCAGCGTCGATCCCAGGTGTTGCTGCAGCTCAAACGCATTGCGCCTGGGCGTTCGACGTCGCTGTCGGCGGTGGCAGGTGCAGACGGCGCCCTCCGCACAGACGGCCCCGGTATGGCCGCGGCCCTCAAGGAGCACTGGAGGGATACATTTTCCGCTCGTGCCTTGGATCGCACTCGCCGGCGGGAGTGGTTCTGCGAGGATGCCGGTCGCGCAAATGGCCTTCGCGCTGCTGCTCGCCAGATGCTCGGCGACACGTCTGCCTGGCAACTCCGCCGATCAGACATTCGACGTGCAGTGTCGTTGACAACCTCCTCTGCACCTGGTCCGGATGGAGTGCCGTATCTGGCATGGCGGCGCCTTGGGGCCCTAGCGGTCGACACTCTGTTCGATGCGGCCGTCGAGCTTTCCGAGGAGCATGGCCGCGACTCCCTGCTGGAGGCGTTCCCGCTGGATGCCAGCGGCGACACGGCGTTCAACTCGGCCAGCATGGTCTTTATCCCGAAAAAGACGGCACACGAGGCCAACGGTATCCGATACCATCTTCCTGGAGAGGTCCGCCCACTTTCCCTGGTGAACACGGACAACAGATTGATGGCTAATGCTTATCGCTTGCGGGCGGAACCGCTGCTCGACAAGATCATATCGCCGGCTCAACGGGGTTTCTTGCCTGGCAGGTCCATGCTGCAGAACGTCGTCGAAATCGACAGCGACATGAGGGCGGCCAGCTTACAGGCCGAGCAGCCGGGCGCGGTCTTCTTCGACTTCGCGGCGGCGTTCCCGTCGTTGGCGCACGACTTCATGGAAGACGTGCTGGAGTTCCTGGAGCTCCCGCTGCCGTTCCGGCTCTTCGTGTCCAATTTGTACTTCGGCAACGGCTGCAAAATCTCCGCCGGCGGGGAGCTGCACGAGGGCTTCAGCATCCGATCTGGGATCCGCCAAGGGTGCCCATTGTCACCTGTGCTATTCGCCCTCTGCGGCGACCTACTGCTCCGCCGCTTGCAGGGCTCGCTGCCGGGCGATGCGCTGAGGGCGTACGCGGACGACTTGGCCTTGGTTTCGCGGGGTGTCTTCCTGTCGGCGCGCTGCTTTGTCCCTTTGTTTTCCGACTTCGCCGTCATCTCTGGTCTGTCGCTTAACTTGGGGAAGACCGTCTTCGCCCCCCTGGGTGACACTTCGGTGGACAACTTTCGGCGCCAGCTTGAGGAGCGATTCCCGGGGTGGGGGGCCGCGTGCGTCAGGGATTGGGCAGAGTACCTGGGCTTTGTACTGGGGCCTGGCGGGCGCTCACGGTGCTGGCAGAAGGCGCTAGACAAGTATACCAGCCGCGCCGACCTGTGGGCGCAGCTTGGGCTTGGCCTGCATTACACCACCGTGGCGTACAACGTGTACGTGGCCTCGCTCCTTACCTTCCTCCTGCAGCTCGAGGTCCTTCCGGAGGATTGGGAGCGCGCTGAGGCAGCAGCCCTCCGTCGATTGGTCCCTGGTCCTGCCCACTGGGTTCTCCCCGCTGACCTGCGAGCTCTACGGCGGCATTACGGCATGCCTCAAGAGTTTGCGGACATGAACGAGGTTTCGCTGGCCGCTCGTTTTCGCGTCGCCCACCGGGAGGCTGCAGCTTCTGGCGGCTTGGCCGTGGCATCGGCGGTTCGCCGCCTTGACAGGTCGGTCGCCGACACGGATTTCTTCTGGCGCTATGTCCGGTGGTGCTCCTGGTTTCAAGGTGCCTACGTCCGCAACTTGTCTGCGGCAGTGTCCACGTTCCAACGCGTAGGCATCGCCATCCAGACTGTGGAGGCCGACTTGGGAGCTGACGCCCCGCTCCCCCGCACTCGCGGGCAAGCCCGTCGCCTCGCCCACGGCGTGCAGCGAGCGGCTCGGGCAGCGCGGTGCCGCACGTTGCGCAGCCACCCCGAGACGAGACTCAGAGCGAAGTTGGCCAGGTGGCGGCTGCCGATCTATCCGCGGCTTCGAGCCATCCGCGGGTCTGCAGTGCTGCAGCGTCTGGCCCGGCTGGCGCCGCCTCGCGTGGTCGCCGCAGTGCTTCGCACGTGGTTCAATGGCTGGTGCACGGCCCGCCGTTTCCAAGCCCATGGGCGTTGTCTGTTCGGCTGTTCCATGGGGCAGGATTCTGTCGACCACTACATGGGCTGCCTCATGCTACACCGCCATGGCCAGCTTCGACTCCGGCTCCGCGCTGCGCCAACCTTCGAGGAGCGCGGCCTGAGGTTTTTTCTCCTCGCGGGCGCCCACGAGCTCCGGGACGTGATCCTCACCCGGCGGGCCCTGTTGCTCGCTGCGGCCTATCGGCTGCATTGCCGGTGCCGCCGTCAGCCGGCTTTCTCCGACCACGAAGTTCTACGTCGCGCACTTGATCAGGCGGTGAGAGAGGCGGCTCAGGGGCACGCTGGGGCTCTCCGCGCGGTGGACAGCGTCTGGGCGGACGAGGAGTTCGGCTTGTAGCCATGAGGGCACGTACGCGCGCAGGTGCGCAACGAGCGCACCAGAGGATTTATTAACCACAGCTTGCGCGTGTGATGGCACTCTCCCTCTCCCTCCTCCGCTTTCCTCCCTCTCCCTCCCCTCCTCCCTCCGCTGGGATGCGACACGCACGGCATTCGGGCAGTGCGAATGTATGCCCCCCGGGCTGTTCACTCAGTGTTTGCCCCCAGGTGTGTTGCATAGGCGACGGCGGACTGCGGCCGCAAGCGTGTGTGCACGTCAGTGCTCCCTCCCCTCCCCCTCCTCGTCCTCCTCCCCTCCCCTCCCCCCTTCTTCCCGCTCCATCCTCTGACGGTGTACCGGCCTATCTGGCGATACTTTGCCACGGAACCTCCCAATGAGGCACCGCACCAGTCCTTTGACATGTGTTCTGTTGTGCGGACGTCGGGTGGCCTGTGTCCCGGCCGCGTGGCCGAGGCCCCTGCTCGTGATGCTGTGCTCACCCCTCTGCTGTGCAACGTAAGGCTGAATAGACATGGCCGGAGCGATGCACGACGTGATCGGGTGTAGAGGTGATTTCTTCTTTTCCAGTGCTCGGTAACAGAACCGGTTGCAGTGCGCAACGCCTTCTATCCCACTCCATGGGATAAATGGTTTCTGTTTTATTCCTCACCTCACGCTCACACGCCGGTGCCGGGTCAGAAGGCTCTGCTGTGCTCGATCGTGCTTCACATACCCTGTTTGGAGGGGCTGGCTGGCGGACTGCCGAGGCCCAGCCGAGAATGCTTGGCGCATCGAAGCTGCTGTCGCGGGTCGCGAGGTCCGCTAAGGCGCCAGCTAGGGTGGCTGGCAGCGGCTGGTGCCGTCGTGCTGTTGGCCATCACTGCTGGTGCCTGAGTGGCCCTCGGCCTGTGCGGAGGGCTGCGGGACCGTGACGGCGGGAATCCCGCGCCCTCCACCTTTTCCCTTGCCTGCCAGCCCTCTTTCGATTCTGAAGTCGCGCCTCGTTCCCCGCTTTCGCCCCCTCCTTCTCCCTGAATTGCCCGTGGCTGGTCTTCCGCACGCGGCCCGCAGTCTCGGCGGCGCTTCTGGCCCTGCTGCTCCTTGCCAGCCGCATGCCCAAGATGCATGCCGATCGGGCGACTTTGCATGATATTGAAAATCTTCAGGCTGAGCCCAGCTCGTCTATTTGTTTCGGGAAGTGCTGCCTTGAGCGCGTCTTTTCTCCTCGCCTCCCCTCCCCCGGGCTCCTCTCTTGCTCCGTTGTGGATTTATCGACGTGGCCATTTGGGCCGCCAGGGGTGCATAGATCTGCAGTGTTCGATTTAGTCCCAGGGTGCGAGTGCATGCGTCGGCTCACCTATTGCAGGTTGGCTTGAGCGTGCTCTTTGTTTTGGGCTTGATTCCCTAGGTTCCTCACCCCCCTCCTCCTGCGCTGTTTCACCTCTATGCCGGTATTTGTCCACCAGCTGCTGCGCAATGCAGCCGATTTTGAAAACCACGTTGACCGCTCCTCCCTCTTGCCTCCTCCTTCTCCTCCTCCTCCTCCAGGTTCGTGGTGACGTTTATCCGGCCCGCCATTTTCGAGCCTTGCCGCTAATCAGCTTCTGTGCGGTACGAGGCCGTGTCCGTGCGCAGTGCCAGGGGATGGCAGCAGCTCATATTGGGGTGCGCTCATAGCCCCCCCATGAGGGGAAGCGGATTCGGTGCTGTGTCGCTGTGGGAAAGAAGCTGCTGAGTGTTCGCTGAAAAAAATCTCAGAGGCGGGCTCCAGGAACGAAGCGGAACAACACAGGCACAACATTTCAAAGCACAACGCGACGCGATAAAAAAGTTACTGGGTCCCAGGTCGGCCCCGAGCCCCATGGATTAAACGATACGTTGCGTCATCAGGGGCAGAGGAGGAGGAGGAGGAGGAGGAGGAGGAGGAGGAGGAGGAGGAGGAGGAGAGACAAGGACGAGGACGGCTCGACGACGTCGTCGAGAAGGAGGGAGGAGGGAGGAGGCGGGAGGAGGAGGGATGGGGGAGGGAGGAGGGAGGAGGGGGGGGAGAAGGAGGGGCGGCGGAGGAGGGGCGCCCGCCCCAGGCGCCGCCCGCGGAGGAGATGCGGCCAAAAGTCAAAGGCGCCGGGCGGTGTTTGGGGATGGGGGGGGCTCGTGGCCGGGGCGGGGAGGAGGGGGGGGAGGTAGGGGGGTGGACGGGAGGGGAGGATGGGGGAGGGGCAGGGGGGAGTTGGAGGGGGGAAGGGGGAGGGGGGAGGGGGAGGGGGGCGGGAGAAGAGGGGGAGGCAGGGGGGTGGACGGGGGGGAGGGGGGTGGTTGTCATGCGTCTGTCTGGCGGGTAGGCGTTTGCAGTCCGCCGTCGTGCAGGTGGGGGGGGCCTTGGTGGCGTCGAGGGGCGGAGGGATGGGGCAGGAGGGGGGAGAGGCAGGAGCGGGAGGTGGACGGGTGGGAGACAAGAGGGGGGGGGGGGGGGGAAGGCGCGCGAGAAGGAGAAGGGGAGGGGGTGTCCTCCTCTCCTCCTCCGCCTCCGCCTCCCCTCCTCCTCCTCCTCCTCCTCCTCCTCCTCCTCCTCCGCCTCCGCCTCCTCCTCCTGCTCCTCCTCCTCTTCCTCTTCCAGAAAAAAAGGCCCAGGGGGCAACCGAGCGGGTCCCCACCCCGACCCACATCGCTCAGGGGGAGCGGGAGGGGGGAGCGAGAGCAGCGTCTCGCCCGCACTCGCGCGGCCCTGCCGCTGCCGCTGTCCGCTGTCCAGCGACTCGGCGACCGGGAAATAATGCGCCGCGCCAGGGCAGGAGCGCCACGGGCCAAATCTGCAGCGAGCTTTGGGCGAGGGTCGCCCACTCGCGCGCGGCCCCGCCCACCATCGACATGGCGAGCGGCATACATACACATATATATATATATACATTCATTCATTCATTCATTCATTCATTCATTCATTCATTCATTCATTCATTCATTCATTTACTTATTTACTTATTTATTTATGTATTTGTTTATATATTGATTTATTTATTCGCCGCGCTGCAGCAAGAGTGCCGCTTTGCAGGCGAGATCCGCGCGGGGCGGGAGTTCCATTGTCGAGCACCTGGGCGCTGGGCCGAGGCCAGAGCGGCATTTCTCCTCTCGAGCCCCTCCGGCCACGCGTGCGTCGTCGACAGAGTCGTCCGCGTTGAAAGGGAAGCGCGTCGACGTTGCATTGCTACGGGCAGGGCGGGGCCGGATGGGGATGTCAGCGGCTGGCGCCAAGTGCCATCGTGGGACTGCGCGCGAATCAAGCTAAATAGCCAGGCCGAGCGAGTCAGCGGGCCCCGCCGCTTGTCGGAACATGGAGCACATGCTGTCGCGACTTGATGGTGGGACTATAGCGCGCGCTCCCCCGAGCGAGCGGAAGGCTGTCGCGCGCAGGTCTCGCTTCGGACGAGCTGGCGAGGGGGACCTGCGCGGGCCGCGCACGGACGTGGAACAAAAAAGTTCCGGGACGTCACCGCGCGGCCCTGCGCGGGAGTGCCGTGCCGCCGTCCACCGTGTGGCCATCAAGTCTCCGACGGGCGCCGCCAGAGCGAAGCTCGCGCCGCGCCGAGGCAGCGCGGCCGCTTCCGCGCCGCATCTGCGCGGCGCCTGGGCGGGCTCAGCACGTCGCCCGCCCAGCTCGCGCGGCCCCGCGGCCGCCGTCGCTCCCTCGCGGCGGCTGCGGCGGCCGAGGCGAGCGCGCCGAGCCGGGGCGACAAATCGGCCCGGGGCGTGGGCGAGGGCGACACTTCGCGCGCTCGCGCGCGGCCGCGCCCTTCTTTACCGACAGGGCGAGGCGCGTCCATGCGCCGCGCCACGGCGGCGAGCGCCGCCTGCAGGCGAAACTTTAGCGCGGCGCGGCGAGCGAGCGCCACAGTTTTGTCCGCTCGCGCGCGGCCCCCCGCTGTCGACATCTCGCTCGCACGAAGGATGAGGGTAGGAGGGGGCACAAGGGTTTGGGAGGGGAGGATGGTTTGTGGAAGGCGGCGCACGGCGTCTGGTCCGGCAGGGCTTTCGAAAGATCGCGTCTGCAGCCATCTTCCGGGAGGTTATAAAGTTGAAGTCCCAGGTCTTCGCTGGAGATGTTTGGAGCAAGGCCATCGAGCGAACCGGGTCTTTGTGGCAGGGGGGCCAGACGCCCCGAAAGTCTTCAACCTGATTTCGATTTTGGTTTGGAAAAGTTCAGGCGGTAGACGCGGGTAATTAATGGGGCGTCGGCGTTGGAGGGCCATTTTATTTTAAGGCATCTTGTGTTTCGGCGATAATATCTGAATCCTTCGAACAGCGCTTAACATGCAACATGATATGGTGCAGTCGTTCCTGGGCAGATTGCGCAGGCCTTGCGGCCGGTGCCGCCGACCTTGAAGACGACGAAAATGAAAGGGAGGGGGGGGGGTGCAGGGGGAGGAGGAGGAGTGGCAGGAGGAGGAGGAAGGGGTGCAGGAGGTGGATGACGGAGGAGGAGGGAGGGAGGACGAGGAGGGAGAGGAGGAGGAGGGGAGGAGCCTCTTGGAGCCTTGTTGGGGTGTTCTTGGAGAGCTCCTGGGACGTCTAGGAGGCTTCTTGGATCGTCTTGGGGCCACCTTGACCGTGCTGGGCCGATCTTTGAGCGACAGGGGTCTCGTGTGGGCAATCTTGGGGGCCATCTTCGGCATTCTGGGTTCTTTTGGGGGCTGTTCGATATGTCGGGGCCGCCCGGGGGAAAACGAATCTGGGTGGCGACCCCCCACCGGGACCACCCCCCGGGACCCCCTCCCCCCCCCGCGGGGAAAGGATCAAAGGGAAGGGACTTCCCTTCGACCCCACTGCGACGTTGTACAATTTCGCTTTGGATGGCACGCTTGAGGAGGGCCCAGGGAAATGGACGGGGGACGACGGATACGGCGAGGAGACGACTGTGACGACGACGAAGACGACGAGGAAAACGACGGAGACGACAACGCGAACGGAGAAGCCCCTCGCACACGCCGACAGGGTCGGCGGATTTGCCAGGGTGGATGGTCAGTCCCTCTGGAAGAGCGCTCCTGGTGTACAACGGTTTCAGATGGCATCCCGATCTCACTAACTGTCAGTGGCCGCGGCGCCAGGCGAGCCGTCCGGAACGAAGGTTTCAAAGCCCTCGGGGCCACCGTCATTCTCGACAAACGCGTTCGAGATTGATTTCGATAACCGGGTCTCTAAAACGCGTTTATATTTATATATAACAAAGGGCAGGGCTTTACTCATGTACAAATCGGAGCCACTTAGGAAGAAATTCCAGCTGCTGGGTCGTGGTGCGCCATATCCTCCGTACCCCGAAGCTTCAGCAGGAAGCCGTGGCCCAGTCGATGCACCGCGGTGAAAGCCGCATTGCGGGCCATGAAGCAGTACAGCGTGGAATCGTGGGCGCAAGCTTGGACAAAACAGAACGAGTGGGCCAGCAAACTGGTACGCCAAGGGCTCCAAGAGCAGGATCGCTGGGTTGGAAGAGTATTCCCTCGCTTCAACAGTTTGCCCGGGCCAATGGTAGCTGGTGGGGCATTCAAAGCGTTTTCGCCCATGGCGGTGGGACACTGAGATATACCCCCTTTTTCATAAGTGCATGGATTTCTGTGGCTTCTGATGCAGTCGACTGGGCGCAGCATTCGGGAAACAATTTGTTTTGCCGTGGTGGCCCTTATTTCCGATCGTTCTATCGGGCTCAAACAGCACCTGAAGTCTTTCAGCACGACGGCTTGTTCCTCAACTTGTCCAGAGAAAGTAGAACCGTGAGCTGGCGAACGGCATGCTGTAGACAGGCTTTCCCCAGTGGATCTCACCAGAGCCTGTCCCGCCGCCGCCGCCGCCTCTTCCTCTTCGTCCTCCTCCTCGCGCGGGGGCTGCCCTGACTCCAGATCCGCCCTATTTTGGCTTTTTTTCCCAAGTTAAAACTGGGTCGGAAATCCACCTATAAGAGGCCGAAGAAGTAGGGCGGAAATTTCTGCACCCAGCAGAAGTAGGGCGGAAATCCACAGAAGTGGGGCGGAAACAGCAGCAGAAAAGTAGGGCGGAAATTGGCATCAGCGGGGCTTGAAAAGTAAGGCGGAAATTCCAGCCCTACCTACGAATTTCCCCAAAGTAGGGCGGATCAGGAGTCAGGGTGGGCCGGAGCCTTGTCGGTGGCGCGGGGCTGCGCCGGCGCTGCTGACGAAAGTCCCTGGCCGCTGGACATCCGCGCGGGGGCTGCCGCGGAGGGCGCCGCGGTGCGGCGCGCTCCTCCGGCCCCACTTACTCTAAGTCGGGCATGTCCCCCTACGGGGATTTACGACGAAAAAACAAAATTTCTCCGACGGAAGAACCCCACATAAGAATCCTCTGGGCGAATCTGGAAAAAGCCATCACCGTCGTCCTCGTGGTTGGTGAGGCGTCCTGGCTGTCTCTTCTGCGTATATTTCCTCTCGCCTTGGCGCGGGCCCCCCTTCCACTCCTTACGTTGTCCCCATCCTCGCCCCCCTGTTTGTTCCGCGCCCCGCCACCTCCTCCCCTTCCTGTTGCATGAGCGCGCATGTCGATGTTCCTCGGCGCCGTCGCCGCCACGGCCAGCACAGGCGCGTTCTCTACTGGTCACGTCGCGCAGCCGTTGGGACAACCCCGCGGGCCAGGCTGTCGGGACAACCCCGCGAGCCGTTGGCGCGCAAGACCAAGCCGTTGGGACAACCCCGCGGGCTTCGAGCGAGGCGCAGCCGCGCTCAGGCGGAAGGCAGCACGAAGCCCAGCTCTGCCGCGAGCTGCTTCGCCTCCGCCCTGGACAAAACCGCTCTCTTGTCGAACTCCAGGAGCGCCTTCCGCAGGGACGCCGGCGGCCCGCACTCCAGGAACTCTCGCGGCGGCGGCCGCAGGATCAGCATGTTCCGCATGCACGTGGCGCGGGAGAACATGACGTAGAGGTGCAGCCACCACTGCTCGTCCGACATGCCCGTGCGGCCAGCGTCCTCGTCTCTCGCGCAGTCGATGGTGACGCCCTTGCGCAGCGTCTGGCCCTGCGACAGCGTGGAGGTCAGGTAGGACGCGTGCGTCAGGGTGAACCCCGAGCGGCGCACGCTGTGCGCCCCCGAGCTCTGCCATGTGAACTCCCTTTCGCTGGGCCTGAA